TTGAAGGAAAAATAACAGTGGAACACTAGCAGAAAAAACAAAACCCACAAAAGCAATTTCACATAATTCCAAAAAATGCTCAAAACAAGATTATCAATCAATTCATGAGACAATTTCTTCTTTTCCTTTTCCTTCTAGAGAGGAGCAGGAACCAAATACCAGATGTGCATAAATTAAAATTTCCCAACATATAATAAGATAGAATTCAACAAAAAAACTAGAAATTGGGTATTGTTGAAATTTGGGTGTTGTTGAGTTGAAATTGCTAAAATTTGGGTATTGTTGAATTGAAATTGTTGAAATCTTATGAAGAGATTCTTTCAAAGAATAACTTACTTGGACAACGTAAATGTTGTCGGGGCGACGTCGTATAATGTGGAATTTGACGTCAATAAACGTCCAACTGATCCTGGTCTAAGGATATCCATTTTGGATTACAATGCTAACATTCGAGATCAAGTTCGAAGAGCATATATGAAAACTCGAAAGGAACAAGTGTAATTTATAAATTATGTCATTTTTAGTATTGTCGATATATTGTGTCCACCCTGACTTCGATTCCTAGCTCCGCCCCTGGACTAGGATTTCCTGGGGATGGGGATTAGACTTTAGAAGAATGGCATGATTCCAAGCTTTCTCGATAGCATCGGCATCTGTAGCAGATAAAACTTCTAAACGATCAAGGCCCAACTGTCTCTTGATCAGTTCCAAGTTCTCCTTCAGAACCTCAATTTCACAAAAGGGCAGCTTCAGATCCAATGCTTGAACCCCGACAGCCGGAACCTTGTCTTTCTTGAACCTCAAGAAAGGCATACATAGCTTCTGTGTTTGTTTGAAATTGCCTTCCTGTCCAAGTGCACTTTTCTGCAATTCGGATCGGGTGCAAAGGATCGTGTTGAAGTGTTAGACTTCTTCTGAAGTATGTTCAAGCATTCCTTTTTCCATCCATCATACTGCTCATTCACAAATATCAGACCAACAGTCGGCTTATTCTGGTTATTAGGTATACTTACATTACCTTTTTTTGAACCTGTAATCTGTTTCTGCAAAGCTTCCTCATGGATACAATTGAATCTTGCAAGTATTTGTAACCTGTAACCTGTAGTCTTATCGAATCTAGTTTAACATAATGAATATATTTCAATGCAATTTAATGTCGAGTTATTTGTTAAAAAAAGTACAATAAAACGAACAAGGACGTTGCCCTGTTAGTGTAATAGGGTTGGCAATTATATTTCTTCTCTAGTATATTGTCCGTTTAAAGGTTCACGTGATTCAGGGGCGGAGCCAGAGAATTTGTCCAGTGCAGGCATAATTTTAGGTATCAGTTGTGGAGATTTTTTTGGTCAAAATTAGTCTATGAACGAAAAGAACTTCACGTATTCAATGCAGAGTCCTGAACAGAAATAGTTCATGTTTTTCGTATTCCATACTTGTTTCAAAGCAACGGCCCTCATCTCGTTTACCCGATTAGACGAGTAATTCCCATCACATCTCCACAGGTATCAAATTTAACGAGTTTTTTTTTTGTCAATCCATCCCCTCAAGTCTCTCTCTTGCTACAATTGGCTGCCCAACTCATAAAATAAATTGATTTAAGATAATTAATACAATTGATAGTTGATTATTCTAATTTTTTTGTTAGGAATGATGAATTATTATCATAAAAATTA